TTTGTTTGTTCATTCTAAAAACGCTGATAGCGATGGTCTTTAGGTTCCCTGCTACATCCTAATAACCAAGAAAATGAAAACACCTAATACAAGTTTTGAAGGAAGGAATACACGAGTGAACCAACTGTAAAGTTCCAGGCGACTAGCAACTACGGGTGGGAGCTGACCCTGGCTGGGCATGACTGATGACATGGGCCCACCTCTCGATACATGTGCCTATTCCTGCTCCTTTCAGGGGCTCCGCAAGTCCCCCCAATAAAAGGCAATTCCCTTGTTCCTGCGCCCAACACATACTTCCAGACATCCAGCATCTTGTCGAGCAAGTCTGTCGGACAGATGTACAGGGGAGTCAGTGGGGCACTGGCCTGGGTAGCTCATGAATAAACTCCCACATCCTGTCAGTTCTTGACAGGGCAAAAGAGTTGGGCTCCAAGTAATACGACCCCCAACCTTCAAACACACACATACCTCTCGGCTCTTAGCTCAGGAGAGCAGGCGTGTGAGATGCCTGTTTATCGGAGGCTTAATATATGCCAGACATATTCATTGTCTCATTTAATCTTCAAAGATAAACAAGAGATAGGAACAGGAACCCACCCCCATTTACAGTACATAAGTCAGTGTTCAGGGATCCAGGGTACTCATGGTCCCTCCCACGCCATGCTGTGTTCTGACCATCCACTCTCAAGCACCGTCATCCTCACCAACGGCCGCCAGATGTGACAGGATACCTAGACCACCGTGATAGTACAGATGTTGAGAGGTACTGTGAAGGAGCCTGACAGGGCCAGGGCCACTGAAGGTTCTGGTGCAGCTAGGAGTAGGTGGTAGGCAGGTATGCCCATGATCAAGAGAAGACAGGGGAAATTGGGAAATTATTCATGCCATGAAAGGGCTTCCTTCCTCACTGGGTGAAGACCTCTAGCCATCCCCTTCCAGCCATTGTCTGTCTCTAGAGTCTCAGTTAAAAGAAATCACACAACTTTCGCTGCCACAGAGGGGGAAACTCAGAGGCAGACATGGCCTGAGAAAAGTGCTGAAGCCAGGATTTGAGTAAAATATATATACATATATTTTCCTTACAATTTTCAACCTAACACTTGCTTACCCTGCACTTAGGCCTTTCGTGTTTCTCCTCCCATAAAGGAGAGCTACATGATCCCCCTCTGCACACAGACAGCACCCAGCTGTCCTGGAATAGATGTGAAGTGCACCACCCAAGGCTCATATTCTGAAGGAGTGGCCCTCAGGTGGTGGCCCTATTACAAGATCATTGGATCCTGAGAGCGCAGACCTTATCAGTGGCTTAATCCATAGCTGAATGGACAGCCAGGAGGAGGTGGGGCTTAGTTAGAGGAAGTAGGTCTTTGGGCATGTGCCTTTGAGGGGTTTATCTTGTTCTAGACACCTCCTCTGGCTTTCCTTCTGCTTCCCAAACACTATGAGGTGAGCAGTTTTCTTCTACCATGTTGTTTCTGCCTTATCATAGCCTAAAATTACCAACCATTCATTGACTTCTGAGACAAAATAATCCGCCTCCCCAAGTGGTTTTTGTTGGGTATTTTGTAACAGTGACCAAAACTGGACTGAGAACCCCAGGGAGAAGAAGGGTACTGAGACCCTCTAGGGCAAAGGCAGCCGAGGAATTCTGGGTCACCAAGGAAATCAGACCTGGGGCGCAAGCTCCAGAGATTACAACTTCTTAGGGCACCAAAGCCAGGCGGCCTCAAAGTTCTCAAGGCGTGCCAGGGATCGCCCAAGGGAGCCCCAGGGGTCCTTTCAGAGGGAGGATGTGGTCAAAGCATTCCCATATGAGTACCAAGATGCCTGCTACCATCTTACAGTTTCTCCAACAACATAGTGCCATTTCAAAGCGTCTACTGCGTGCCTCACGGGAGACTGAGCGCAGGAGCAGATTGAAGAACCCAGTGCTCCCCTGCCAATATTCTAGCAATACTAATCTGGTATTATCCCACCAACAATACAGTTTTCAAGAACAGCAAATAAGTCTTCTTATTAAAAATTTCATCTTTTGGAAAATTAGTTATTTTTCATAAAACGTGTTAAGATGCAATGTCTTAATGCTATTTTTCCAAGTAGACTAAATGCCTGTATTTCTGTTTTGAATACACTCAATGTAAGTAGATACAGCCTACAAAACCATAGTTCTTGGGCTTCTTAATGATTTTTAAGAGTGTATGGGGGGGGGGTGTCCAGAGACCCAAGAGCTTGAGAATCACTGACTTAAGGTTTTATGGTGTTTCATCACATTGCACCGAGTGTGAGGTCTTCTGAGCTACGCCAGGCAGAAGACAGAAGGGAACAGAAGTAGTGTCCCCTGGCAACCCTTCATGTCTAGGACAGTCATCTGGCAGTGGGCACTCTGACAGGGTCTTCCACGGGGAGGGAGGGCAGAGTAGCACACAGGAAGATAAGGCTCTGGGGTGGAGGCGCCTAGAGAAGGAGCCCACGTCATTTGCTGGCCTGAGCTGCTCACTACTGCCTGCCGGGATTGAGGGCTGGGGTCCCGAATTCTTTCTGGCTCGCTGCTGGCACCTGAAATGCCAGTGGGAATGTTTTGTCCTTGTGGTGATTAATCTTGTCAGCTTGATAGGATTGAGAGGCACCTCGGAGATTGGCAATGCATGCCTCCATGTAGGTATGTATGTCTGTGAGAGCATCTCTAGGGAAGACTACGCGGGGAGGGATTCGTCCTCCCCACGGAGGTGGGTGGCCTCCTTTTATAAGCTGGGAACCTGCCTGGAGTCAAAGGAGAAAATCTAGGAGTACAGACATTCTCTCTGTGATTCCTGGCTGCCGCGATGCGAGCTACTCTGCTCCCCCATGCCCTCCCTGCCATAATGAGCTGACCTCTGCAACCATGGGCCAAGATAAATCCATCTTCCCTGAAGTTGCTGGTCACAGAAATAAAAATAAAAACAATGAGGAAATTTGTGGTAGTTTGAGTGTAATTGGCCCCACAACCCCATAATCTCATAGAGAGTGGCATTATTCGGAGGTCTGGCTTTGCTGGAGGAAGTGTGTCGCTGGAGGGGCGGGCTTTGGGGTTTCATGTGCTCAGGGTACCGCACGCATGAGGAGTCAGTTGATTTCTGTTGCCTGCGAGATGTAGCAGTCCCATCTCCAGCACCATCTGCTGCACGCCGCCATGCTCCCCTTCCTTATCATAACGGACCTCTGAAACTGTAAGTGAGCCACCCTCAATTACATGCTTCCTTTATAAGAGTTGCCGCGGTCATGGCGTCTCTTCTAAACCCTAACGTGGACAAAATTCTATTAGCCGAAAATGAAATCCCATCCCAATCAAGACTCGTTTGCACCACACGAAGGGGCAAATGACATTTGGAGGTCTACAGCAGGGAAGCCAAAGATGCTCAAAACTAGACTATGAGAACGGAGTGGAGAAGGGCCTGAATCTTTGATGGGCAAGTGCAAACAACCAAGGAAATTACCAAATATAATTCTAACATCAAAGAAAAAAGAACAATACGGCAAAACTTGTTTTAGCGCCTGCTGTCTTCTGCAGTGTGAGGCAGACTGCATGAGTTAGAGAGTGCACGTGACACCTACAACTGTCCCATACCCACTCCTGCCCTGTCTCCACTGGGCCTTAGCAGACATGGCAAAAGACTAGAAGTTAGTGTTGAAAAGACGTGCCCCAAAGGAAGGACTATGGGGTCAGAGAGGAGCACAGTATCTCTTCTCACCAGGGTTTGATACAAAGCCCAGGCTGGCCTTGAACTCACAATCCTCCTTCTTTTGTCTTCCGAGTGCTGGGGCCGTTGTTTCTTGGATGGCAAGAGAAGAAAGCTGCCTTTGTGCCTGCCGAAGCACAGATCTGCCTCTGTGTGTTCCACGTGAGAGGGCACCAGGCACAAAGGCGTGCTAACAGGCCCTGTAGCCCTTCCTGCTCCAGCGAGCATCTGAAATCACTGGTGAAAGGTGAGCTTCGGAGTGCCTGAGCATGAAGGGAGGGCTGCCTCCTGGGGTCATAAGAAAAAAAAGGGGGAGGGGGAGACAGAGTGTGACAAGGATAGTTCAAGTAGATTTCAAGTGCCCTGTGTGGCCTAAGATCTTGTTCCAGTCGATTCATACCCCCCTCGCCTAGGCCACTGCCTGGGACATAGCAGCCCTCCACAAATGCTTATGAATGAATGATGTCCCTTCTCTTTTCTCAGGTTGGCGGCCGATGTGCACCTAATCAGGAATTAGAAGCATGGCCGAGACGTTGAGGTTGGCCTTCTCTGCTCCCTCTGAAGGAAATACCCTAACCATTTCCGGGACTTGAATGCCTTTCAGGTTGTTACTGCAAAATTTCACTTCTCCAGAGAGATTTCCTGTGTCACATGGAGGTTTATCACGGAGTCCATTTATTGACAGAAGTTGCCTTAAAGATGAATCACTTTGAGATTTTCAATTTGCATGGTAGCTTATTTGCAAACAGCCCACAACTGTGGGCTCCTGCAAAAGTTCACCAGTGACCATGTAACACCAGCACCTGGGCCACAGCTGGCTCAACAGGGAACAGAACTTGTGTTTATAGAAATGGTGCCCTCTACTGACTCTGAATGTATTCTTCATTTGATTATTTTAATTTTTATGGAAACAAGGTCTCATGTATACCGGGCTAGCCTCAAGTCAGTAGTATGTAGCTGAGGCTGGCCTTGAATTCCTGCTATGTCTGCGTCCACCCCTCACCTGCCGGGATTTGCAGACATGCACACCATGCTCAGCTTCCTTTAGTTGACTCTCAAGCCTCCTTTTCATTTATTTCAGAAAGCAGGCTCATTTCCTGTCAATGCCAAAAAATTGTATGCCCATCTCACAGCCTCATTCATTCCTCAGAACTGGAGGCGCCTCATGTGGCTGCAGAAGAGGTTAGAAGGATTGACGGGGTTATCTCCATTTGCAGCTGAGGTGGCCAAGAGATAAGTGTTGCTTAAAGTAGTTAGCAAACGACAAAACTGGTTTCCACACAGATCTCAGCCTCCCTGCCGACCGTCCACTTCCTACAAGAGAACTGTATTCTTGACATTTTTTTGGTTTCTCTGGTAACTTCAAAGGTAAGTGGTTTATAAGCTTATTACAAAATTTTCTGGTAAATGGCAATGCGATGCTTTATTCAACAAAATCCATTTATTATGATTATTTTCTGGCAGGGGAACATACAGATTTTCTAAGAAGGCTGGCATTTGCTTGTTTCGAAAGTTACAGTAGAATGAGTTTGCTAAGGACCTGCCAGTAGAAATTGCCAGGGCTTCCGCAGAGGCGCTTTGCAGAGGATTTTGAAGTTTTTGTTTGCTTACTTGCTTGCTTTTTTTTTTTTTTTTTTTTTTGGACACAAATCTGTCTGTATATAAACATTTAAAATTAGCCAGGCATGGTGATGCATGCATTTAATCCCAGCACTTGGAGGCAGAGACAGGCAGATCTCTTGAGTTTGAGGCCAGCCCGGTCCACAAAGTGAGTTCCAGGACAGGCAGGGTTACACAAGAAGATCCTATCTCAAAAAAGAAAGGAAAATGAACAAGCAAAAATTGTTTGCATAGTAAAATATATAGCTAGAGAAGGATTATACAGATTTTTACTAGATTATCAGCAAAATAAAAAGACCAAACATAGGCTATGTTTGAGGGAATAGGGACACAAAGCTGAAGAAAATTATAACAATCATATTATATTTCAACATGAGTTCCCAAAAGGTACTAGGCTGTACAGACTAACATATCAGGAAGTTTTGGCAACTTTAGTGAATTCAATCAAGTCAGTTGGAATGGCCTGACTTCAGCTAAGTCTTGAAAACAGAACAGTCAAATAAATAATTGAAGCTCTAAGCCCTGAAGAATCTATTTGAAAATATTGTGACTTTAAAAGTCAATGGCAATGGGAACATTCTAGAAAGCTTCAACATTATTAAGTACATAGATTCTTGAACATAAGCCAAGTCTATTATACTGAAAATATATGCTTATAAATATATTTTCTCTGCTCTAATTTGTCATGACATTTAAAGTAAAACCTATGAAAGCATAAACATGTTTTTTTTTTTTTTTTTTTTTTTTTTTTGTGGTTTGGCTTTTGTCAGTGTGGATTTTTGTTTTGTTTTGTTCTGTATTAGGGATTGAACAAGGTCCGGGTCTGTATGCATGCTGGGCAAATGTTCTACTTCTGAGCCATATCCCTATTACATAAATTTTACCATAAGCAGAACTTAAATGTTGGTGTACAGAATGTCCAGGAAAATATTAATAATAAGAAACTTAGAAAAGATAAAATTTTACCCTAGTTTATAAAGAGCGTTGTTTCTGAAATATATATTGCTCGTGCCAAACAAATGCTAGACTTGACCTTGCTAGCACTGGAAAAAGAAAACTCATTTTAGCTGAGTCATACGACTAGCCCCTATATGCTCCAAAGTCAATATCAGATTCCCCCCCATATTGGAGGCAAACACTACTCCTTTAAAGGAAAGGTTTGTAATATCAAGAATATCATGGCCTTTTCACTATGCGGGATTGCACGCATAATTTGAAAAGGGGTGGTAAACATGAACTTCTGTAACCTTTAAAAGCACATGACTGACATTGAGGTATGAGGCAAGAAGAATGATATTGAGACATCAGTGCAGGAACTGAGGCCAGGTCAGAGGAGGTGGCTCAGCCAGTAAAATGCTTGCTGCACAAGGGTGAGTTCCTGGACAAGGTCCCAGCACTCTCCTACAACTGAGCGCCGTGAGCCACATCTCTAACCCCCACCCCTTAACACACACACAAGCACATAAAGAGGAACTAAAGTCTATCAGCCACCTCTTGCGCCTAATTAGCCCGCACAGTGCCGCCGCTATCTACAGAACAGTCAGAACAATGATCACAGCCCGGCAGCTACTGCTGTTCAGCGTATACTGACCAGGGTAGCATCAGTCAGCAGTGGGAAATGCACTTCCCACATCCAGAGTTCAAAAGCTGCCTATCTGTGATGCCGGCAGCAGTCTCCATAGAAATAACACGCTGGAAAAGGCAAGCATCAAAACTGCCTGGGAAAATCTCCTTTTCCCTGAGAATGATTTTATGATTGAAGCTGGCTTATATACAGAGATACACATTTTCTATTACTTGGGGTTCCATTATTTCACATATACTTCACATGGAATCAACTTGCATTTACTGGGTCCTTGTTGCACCAACACAGGGCAGGATGCAAATGTACTGCACGGAAACTACATGTGTGTCTTTGTATGTTCCTCCTCTCCTCCCACTGAGCAGTCCATTCTGACCGCCTTCCGTGTCCATGACAGACAGTGATGGGGGGGGGCTTAGCATCAAAAGTAACAATCTGTGAGTGGTGATTTGCATATTCTTTATTTTTCTATTTTGTTTGTTTTAACAGAGCTCCACTAGGTAGCTCAGGCTAGCCTCAAACTTCCCATTCTCCTGCTGTACTCTCCAGAGTGCTAGGCACGGGCATCTACCACCTCACCCAGAGTATCTTTCTTTTCAGGTCGGGGTAGGGTGGGGGGGGTGACTTCTGCAATGACCATATCTTGAACTAAAATGGAGACAAAAGAGGAGACCAGGAAGAGGTAAGGGGTGGGGGTAAGCTATCCCCAGGGGTAAGCTGTAGATGGAGCTCCCACACCCATCCCCAGAGTTGTTAGGCCTCTCGGAGTCTAACTTTGAGGGAAATGGTCCTGGAATGAAATTGAGACATGAACTGAGGGGAGCAGGAGTAGCTTAGAACCCTGAAAGTACTTGAACTGTCCCTGTAAAAGAATTCTCCTGACAATAAAATACAGCCCTAAATTCCTTTTCAGTCCCGAGACTATCTATCTCCCTTTAGTGGCTACAAAGTTCCTTTATCTTGCAGCTCTGACCTTTCTAGTAAAGTCTGGTGTCTTGTAGATGGCTAAAGTGGCTTAGCAGGGAAAAAAAAAAAAATCTCCTCTGATAAATGATGAGCAAGGGTTAGAGGGTCTCTACGTTCCCAGATCTCTATATAATGTCACTTTCATCCAGGTCATACAATATGGGAGCCTCCTCAGAGTCGCTGTGTGAAACCCAGAGCCACACACATTAAATACAAAGCGCACTTGCTCTGTAAAGGAAGAGGGAAAGCAGGCCACCTGAGCATCTTTGGTGGCTTGAGGGGATCAGGCACAAGAACAGCTCCAAGCCCCAGGTCCTCCAGTCCTCCACCCAAAGCCTGACCTACCTTGGCGCCACCCAACAGATATCTGAGTCCGTTTTGCTTTATCATCTTCTACTTGTGTCTGTGAATTGATACCACCCCGGCGGGAGGGGCAGCATCTAAGGGGAAGTACCTGACATTCCAAACATCCCAGCCATTAGGAATGATTAGATAAAACCACCAGATGTCCTTGAGCCCAGAGCACACCAACTCCCCTTTCACCAAGACACCTCCAGGCACAGCAGGGTCTTGAACCCTGGAAATCCCTTCACCTTTTACGTTACTCGGTCTCCTTGTTGATTGGGGGGGGGGGGAAACCCAGTGATCTGGGCATAACAGTGTCAACTGTTATGAAGAGCTCACTGGATCACCTGGAGAAAGCTGGGCGAGCATCTGTGCTCCACCTCCCGGCCAAGCCTCCCACACCTACCTCTCTCAGCGTCTGTCCTCCATCTTCATCCCCCACTGTCTGCATGACAGACCCTGCACACGCACACCTGGGCATCCTTGTCTTGCCTGCTCTTCGAGGGTCTCAGTCAGATCCCACTTTGCCCATAGGAGGGGACATCTGTACGTGTTCATTTTTCTGGCTGCGGAACAGCAGAGCTGTCAGGAGGTCAGATTGCAGCTTCGGGAGCCGGGAGCCGCCAAGAAGCCCCCAGAGAAGTACAAGTCAGCAAAAAGCTGGCTCCTCAGCATGAACTGGCGAGGCAGCATTTATCGAGTGCTTACTGTATGCTCCCTGATTTGAAAGACTCCAAGTGTCGATAGAGACTGATGTAAACGTTTCTCAACAATTTCCAAAAAGATGCCACAGGGTCCCTGGGACTATTTTGACACCGAAATGAAGATTTTGAGCATTGTTTTTGCAGGCAAGGCCCTATAGCTTGTAGTGTCTTGAGTTACCAGTAACAAGTTTTTGCAAAACAAAATACCTTTGCCTTGTATTTACTCAAACTGTTAACTTTGAGGTTAGGCACTCACATGATATTTTAAATTTACATTGATTTTTTTTTTCCCGAGTGTGTGCGCATGCGCGTGTGCGTGCCTGCGTGAGTGCGTGAGTGCGTGCATGCGTGCGTGACACATGCCTGACTGGTGCCGGGGAAGGTCAGAAGAGGGCACTGGCCCTTGGAACAATGCTGGGAGCTGAACTCGAGTCCTCCGCCCTCCTTGCTCTCAGCAGCTGAGTCCCCTCTTCATTCCCAGGCTTTGTCCTCATAAAACGATTGCCTCTTTTATTTTCAGCCATGCAGTCTAGACAAGGCTCTTGGCTGAGTCTGGGGTGGCACTGAATGGCAGGCAGGCACCAGCTAGTAATAGAAGCACTAACTAATGTTTCCAGAGCTCTGTAAATGGTGATTCTGTACCTTTCCCTGCCCCATGCCAGAACCAAATGTCAAAGGGAGGTACATAAAGCATGAGTTTCCTGATCCGGTCATATTTTTAGTATATATTTACTTTTTTTTTTTTTTTTTTTCTGAGACAGGTCATCTCTGTGGCCTTGGAGCCTGTCCTGGAACTAGCTCTTGTAGACCAGGCTGGTCTGGAACTCACAGAGATCTGTCTGCCTCTGCTCCTGAATGCTGCGATTAAAGACGTGCACCACCACTGCCCGGCTTTTATTTAATTATTTTTAACACAAGGTCTCTCTACATAGCCCTGTCTGTCCTGGCATACATAGACCAGGTACATTTTGTTTTGATTTGTTTTTTTTGTTGTTGTTTTGTTTTTGTTTTTGTTTTTTTTTTAATCTCCAAGCCCAAAGGATCAGTAGTGAATTAATTTGTGTCTCAGATTAGTTGAACAAAAATCATTTTTACTTGACATAAAACTCATTGAGAAGAAATAATGACTTCAGGGTATTTAAATTTACCCT